ATCCACCAATATTATCACGACAGTACTCAATAGTACCTTTGGAAATGGCATAAAAACGTTTTCGTTTACAGGAGATATCCAAAAGAATCCGTCTATGGACTATAAATCGAACTCATCGTGCAGTAGTCCAGGCAAGCAGGAGAAGAGTACGTTAGAAAGAATGGAAAGAAGCGACCGTCATCCCGCCTTCGGGGTGCCCGTGCCAGTCCTCCCCGTGAGGAACAACTTGCGGGCTTCGCACTTTACACCCGCTGCTTCACGATTCCATTTCAGGAAGGGTCTCTCATCTAGATGTTCTTGGAAATGTACTGCTATTGTATTCATAGTGTTGTTCGTTTTACTCTTAGCAATTGCTTCTTATATGTCAGGTAAGCGATAGAATTTTTTAACTACTTCCAATGTAATTTACATTTCCTCTAATAATTCATTTATTACCTGTTAATTATAAGGGAGGTTAATATTTTTTTCTTTTTTCACAGCTTCCTATTTCGTCAACTGGTCGTACCAGAATTCTAAAGCATGTACAGTACTAGTTGGCGAGTCAACAGAGATCTTTCCGGCGTCTAAAGCGACGACGCTAGAATCAAATAACAAATCTCTGTCTAAGCCGCAACAGAGCTCTTCATCGGCCAGCTCAGGTAAAGAGAATCCTCTTGTGCGCCCTCGTAGAAGTGTAGATGGGCATGCTTCTTTGTCTTCTGTTTCTGCTACGGTTTCTTCCACTACTGTAGATGTGCATGAGCTAATCACTACGCCTTCTTTAAGTTCTGTTAGCGTAGAGCATGGCGTGCCAGTGCTCGCAAACGATACGACTGGTGCCTCTCAAGAACATCACAAGGAAGGTGCTAAAGCTTCGGGGTCTAGCAATGTTGGTTTGTCTTTTAACAATGGTGATCTAACAAATAATAACACTACGCTTGAATCTTTTTATAACAGTAATTCAACTTTAAAACCGACGTCAAAATCGAAAGACAATTCAAGTTCAGATATGGAATCCAAAACTATAATAGATAAATATAACATAACAGTCGAACAACCACCAGAAGCTAAAATAATCGATAAAAGTAATAATATTAAAACTGATATCGCATATGACCCAGAGTCAATGCAAAGTGATTCATTTCCATCTTTATTTTCGTACGGTGTACAAAAACTTCAGTACTTAAAACTATTAACTCAACTCAATGCAATAGGAGAAGAATTACACATATTTTCAAATGACACTGCCGAAGGGGACGACAAACTAGAAAAGTTCCATTACGACAGTGAAACTAATCCTACAGTAAATATACCAACGACGATTATGCCAAAGATAATAACAGAAGAGCCAATAACTACAAATGCACCCATAACCACAAAACCTATAATTGTTGAAACTGTTGCCCCCTTCACTACAAATGTAACCACCACACAAACTGAGCATGTTGTGACCACACCAGGAATGCCTAATACTAATACCGTTTCAAACACAACTGAGACTGAACCAACTACCGTGCCTAATGAACCATCCACTGTTAATATTGCTGTCGATTCGAAAACCCCAGATGTGATGTCTAATAAAAAACATGTTTTGATTAACCTGACTATTTCCGCTGATGATGCTGAAAATTCATCTTATAAACCTTTATACTCATTAGCAGTCACTGTTCCTACAATGGGTGATACAAACGAAATACCTACAGTAAAAATTACACCAATAGACTTGGAACCAACGATGCCGACGAATTTCAATAAGCCGGTTACTGTTCAAAGTACGACCAAAACTAATAAGGATTCGAGCATAAATGCTGACTGGGGAGGTAGTTGTGAATGCTCATGTCCAGTATGTGAAGACAGCTCTAAAGATGATTTCTACGAAGATTCTGATTCAGAAAAAAGTACTACCATGCTTTTAGAAAATACAGATATTAGTACTATTCCAAGCCCAGTCTCCGGAGATAATGAATTTCCAACAACAACTACAGATTCTACAGAAAGCCAAAGCTATGTTACTATGGAAACAACTTCAGAAACAGATACAGTTCAATCGTCAACTGTGACTGAAATTAGCTCCACAACAGATTTCGATGCAATTACTACAATTTTAAATGAAAAAACGGAGTCTAAAGATGTTACAGATGATTTAACAACTGAGTCTGAGATAATATCTACGACTGAAGTCCCGAAATGTGTATGTCCGAAAATTAAACCTCCACCCATCCTTATATTGGAAGGTGAGGTCATCAAACCTGAAACGATAACTTACTAACGACCATCTAAATTCATTAAAATTGAAGTCACAAAAACTTTTAAACATGATTTTGTACCTAACAAACTAATTCGCCTGATTATAAAGGGAAACGTGAATAGGGCCGGGGTATTCATTAGTGCTTTAATTACAACATGCATGCGCTGTGTAGAGTTATTCTAAAAATGTAGACAACTTTTCTCTTGAGCATTTATTTCTTAATCATCATTTCCATCAATACTTTCGCATGAATTAATTTAATAAAGTTATTTACATTTTAATAATACACTGCTTCTTTAATATTCCTAAATATTTTATAGGTGCGCGAACATTTCCAGCTCAGTCATTTCCCCCCGACGGGACGACATTCAAACAAATTACTTTAGGTGAAAAATTATCAAAACAAATCCCTCCATATAGTTATTGGAACATGCAGTTCTATCAATCGGAAGCTTCTTATGTTAAATTCGATTACCTGATTCCCCGCGGAGCTTCCATAGGAGTGTATGCAAGGAGGAACGCATTACCCACTCACACTCAATATCATTTCTTGGAAGTCTTAAGTGGATTCAAAGCGAGAACTACCCGTTCATCCCATGTAAGTGACAGAAAAATATCACTTCATAAGAAAATGTATTCCTTATTATAGAAATCAATTTTGAGTGTTATTTTTTACAGCCATCAGTAAAGAAGGAAGTAACACATTACATGGAACAAGGTCATTGGTTCCTATCGCTGTACAACGATGACGGTGATCCACAAGAAATTTCCTTCATTGCCGCTGTTGCCGAAGATATGACTCATAACTGTCCTAATGGATGTTCGGGTAAAGGGGAGTGTCTTATGGGTCATTGTCAATGTCAACCTGGCTTTGGAGGGGATGATTGTAATGAAAGTAAGTCAACAAAAGAAGTTAATTTTAATCTAAATCAGTTGTATGGAAATATAAATTTGATATTATTCCAGGTGTTTGTCCAGTACTATGCAGTCAACGAGGCGAATATATTAATGGAGAATGTCAATGCAATCCTGGCTGGAAGGGCAAAGAGTGTTCCCTGCGACACGATGAATGCGAAGTACCCGACTGTAATGGTCATGGCCACTGCGTGAATGGCAAATGCTCCTGTGTCCGCGGGTACAAAGGCAAATTTTGTGAAGATGTCGATTGTCCACACCCCACGTGTTCCAGTCACGGATTTTGTATCGACGGCGCTTGTGTGTGTAAGAAAGGATGGAAGGGTATGGATTGTGCGACAATGGACAAGGATGCTCTGCAGTGTCTGCCGGATTGTTCCGGTCACGGAACATTTGACGTGGACACTCAGACCTGCACTTGTCATGCACGCTGGTCTGGGGATGATTGCTCTAAAGGTAAGATAAGAATTAATGGTAATGCTCAGCGTAGAACTTAAAATGATTGAAATACAATGTACTAACTATGCCACTTTAATGTTACAGAGGTGTGCGACCTAGACTGCGGGCCTCATGGACGATGCGTTGGAGAGTCTTGTATCTGCGACCAAGGATGGACCGGCGAGTACTGCACCTCGAAACTGTGTGACTCTCGATGCAGCGATCACGGTCAATGCAAGAATGGAACTTGTCTTTGTGTATCTGGTTGGAATGGTAGGCACTGTACATTGGAAGGCTGCCCCCGCGGTTGCGCTGGCCACGGTCAATGCAGGGTCGCCAACGACGGCCATTGGGAATGCAAATGCTTCGACGGTTGGGATGGACCAGACTGCACGACGCTTAAAGAACAAGTGTGTGATGACTCGAAGGACAATGATAAAGGTAAAATTCTCTGAATTCGTCTTGAGAAAAATCTTGAACAGCAAACATTAAACCATACTCGTAAAGAATTCCAGTTGGAGTTGAGTAATATTTTAACTTCAACATATTATATTGTATGTCTCAGTTTCAGAATTAAATCATCTATAAACCACGTGTTTTTATTTATTTTCTGTGCAGACGGTCTAATAGATTGCGAAGATCCTGAATGCTGCCAAAGTACTGCCTGCAAAGGCAGCCAACTCTGCGTATCCTCGCCTAAGCCTACAGACATCTTACTGAGGAAGCAACCGCCGGCCATCACAGCTTCCTTCTTTGAAAGAATGAAGTTCCTCATCGATGAAGGTAGCCTCCAAAACTACGCTAAGCAGGAGACCTTCAACGAAAGGTGAGATTAGATGTTCGATGTTATCTGTGATATTAATTGGCTAAAGAAGAATCTTTTGACATCTCGATATTAACAATTTTACACAACTAACGATACAATGTCAAACGATTCTTCATTCAGGTGCTTAAATACAAATATGAAAAGAAATATCTATTATAATACGCAATGTTGTGCCCCAGTCAATCCTAATGTTTTATTTATTGATAATGTATCACCGTTTCGTTTCTTTTCCTTACACATTGTAACAAAGACGACTAATTTTATGTTTATCGAAGTTTAATGTAAAATTTAACGTTTTCTTCGAAGGTTACTAAATTGGCACTTGCATGAACAAGGATTTGTCTATCAGAAACTAAGCTAAGCACATCGCTGCTACTAACGTATTTGTAATTTCCTTCTTCCTGATTAACAATGTATCTAATGGTACTCATTCTTTGTCATTTCTCGTCTTTCTGCTGCGCAGTATGTTTTGGAACCACTTCAACACGAGGTAAGATCTAGCGAGACTTAGGTAGGATGTGTGTGTTCTATAATATTATAAAGTCACCTATAATACTAACACGTACTTCGTACGATCCACTCTAATTGCCATCTTATTTATTTGTTTAGTGTGTGCATGATTTGTTTATATGTATACCTAAAATCGTGTCCTGTGAGTTTTGTGTTATGCTTTTTATTTAATAATATTTAATGTTTATAATATTTCCACTGTAATACTAATAGTATGTAGGTTGAATTCGTCAATTCGAGTAATTACATTGCTAGATACTTAATTTAAATCACCTTATAAGAATAGAAATATTAATACATATGTTTAATTCAAAACAGTAGTAAATTTTTAGTAAACATAAAAATTCAAACTCGATAGAATCCTCTCACATTTAATAGTTGACTTAAAATTAAATTTTAACTTTAATAGAAATCCTTTAAAGTCCTTAAGTAATATTTAGTTAACAGAAATCCTATTTACCTCATATTACTTTGAATTTGAGCACAGATTTACTACATGCTAAATCATCTAAGAGTAATATCTCGAATTACTACATTAAATTAATAATTTTCCAGTCGTTCAGCTGTGATCAGAGGTAGAGTAGTGACGTCACTGGGCTCTGGACTGGTCGGCGTCAGAGTGTCGACATCTACTCCTTTAGAAGGGTTCACATTGACCAGAGAAGACGGTTGGTTTGATCTGTTGGTAAACGGAGGTGGCGCAGTGACGTTGCATTTCGGACGAGCGCCTTTTAAGAGATCTACTCAAGTTGTTTTCGTGCCCTGGAACGAGGTTAGTACGATACTATTTCTTAAAATGTTATGCAGGGAATCGTCTACTGACTATACCTTCCACATCTACTTGATTCTCGCATCCAAATACTGGCGGCAAGATCATCGATTTGTCTGAAAGTAAAAAATAGTTAATGAAATGAAAAATTTGAATTAAAAGATTTGTCTACACTTTTAGATTGTTTAGATTAAAAGTTGAGTTCATTTTTAATATTCATTGAAATTATATGAAAGAATAAAATTGCATAATAGCTATTAATATTAATTTTCTCAGTCCGTCATTTTCATTAGGGATTACTGTAAGCTTAAAGAATATAAAATTAATAAAGCACTTGAACAGTTGCTTATCCAATATCCAAAGACCGCTGACGATAATAACTCCGCCAACTTTACCGGAGTTCCTATGAAGCTATTTAATATTTTTTTCCGCTGCCAAAACATGCGAGGCGGCTATCAAAGAGGCATTAGAATTTTTCAACTCTTAATTTAACTTGAAAGTTTATAAAGTTGTCGCGAGGTTTCGAAAGTTGAGTTCCACAAAAACGTAATGACTAAACTACTAACCTGTCCACAACTTTGTCTTGTTTCCTCAAATTTAAATATCTTTACGTTAAAAAAGACAAAGAGGTATGTTATTCAATGTGTCAATAAAAGGTTCTTTCCGTGACTAATTGGTAATTTCTATTCGAGGGCTTTTAAAGAATGTAAGTGTAATGTAATAAGACATGATATCTTCCAGGTGGTGATAATAGACGAGGTGGCGATGACGACATCGGACGAGAAGGGCGGAGCAGGTCCACCGCAGGCCTGCCTGGCGCA